CATGATACCCTATTTGGCCTTGTAAATAGTCTTCGTTGTTGTAAACAGTCTCAGTTTATTGTAAATAATCTCAGTTTAGGAACATAAAGTGAGGACCAGTAATTGAACTTATCACTTATATGTAAGTGTGGCTCTCGTAGTATATTGCACTGTTAGTGATTACTGTCAATAGTACGTGTTTTTGTGTACCAGCAACGGGGCCAATATAATTAAAAATAATAAAAGGGGGTTAAAATAATAAAAGAGATAACGAATAGATGATATGGAATATGCGATATATATATATAACGTCAAAAAGGATAAGGTGGGTTAAAAGACATCAGAGTCTATAAAATAGACCGATGTCTTTCAAATAGTTAAATAATGCCTTCGAATCCACGGAACTGAAAAGTGTTTTCATATCCGGGACTCGGAAGTAGTTATCACGAATGTGTTTAAAATCGGAACATTCTATTAAAAAATGCTCCACTGTAAATGGAGTGTCACATGCGTGGCATGAAGGTATATCTTCTCGTTTTAAAAGGTACGAATGAGTAGGATATGTGTGCCCAGTGCGGAGCCGAGCGAGGACAACTTCCTCTCTACGATCTTTCCGACTGGGAATAGATGTTTTAAGTTTCGGTTGTATCTTAAAAAGTTTGTTGTTGGTCTCCAGAGACCAGCGTTTCTGCCATTCATTTTGAATGGCTGTACGAATAGTAGGTTTAAAATCTGTGTATGGTAGTTTGATATTTGTTTGTTCGAGATTCAATGCATTTTTTGCTTCCCTGTCAGCAAATTCGTTGCCTTTTATTCCGACATGGCTCGGAATCCATAGTAAAGTTATTTTAGACTTTTTTAATATACGAGATATTCGAAGAGCAAGGTTTTGTACGATTGTGTTTTTAGGATCTCGTAACTGTAAACTCTGTAGGACAGATAGAGAGTCTGAACAAATAATTGCCTTTTTAATGCGGTGTTCATCGATATGGTCGAGGGCCAAACCAATGGCGCATGCTTCAGCAGAAAAGATGGAGGCGCCGTCTGGTAGTCGGACTGAAGTGCAAGTATTGGCAGTACAGCAGGCTGCTGCCACTTTCTCACCTTCTTTGGAGCCATCGGTGTAAAGTTGTGTATGAGAAGGGTAATTCGAAATGCATTCCCGAAAGGAGGATTTGTGTTCTTCGGGCATAACACTTGATTTCCCTCGCTCATGTAATGTAAAGTTAAAATCGGGGGTTTGAATGGTCCACGGAGGAACATCAGATATGTTAAATTCAGCTATGTCCGTCAATTTTATGTTGAGTTCTTGCAGGAAATTCAAAATTCGGATACCAAATGTTGGCAGAAGTTTTTGGTTTTGCGTAAATATGTTTTGGTATTTGGGGTTGAATACTTGGTTGAAAGCAGGATTTTTAGGGTTTGATTTTAATTGAGTTGCAAATTGTAATGAAAGTTTTATTCTTCTGTCATAAAGGGATGGTTCATTTGCTTCCACGTACAGGCTTTTTACAGGTGTTGTTCGAAAAGCTCCCAGGGCAAGACGTAGCCCTTGGTTATGGATTGGGTCTAGCATCTGAAGGTACGAACTGCGCGCCGACCCGTATACCATAGAACCATAATCCAGTTTTGTTCGAATAAGTGATCTGTATAGGCGCAAAAGCATTTCACGATCCGCTCCCCAATCAGTATGGGAAAGGACTCGTATAATGTTTAACGCCTAGATTGAATGAAGGTTTTGATTAATAATAATTATGTAGTGACAATTGCTCGCAGAAATTAGGTATACGGCTTTATGGTTCTATATGGCTGAAGCAAAATATTTTGCGGAGAGTAAAAGTGCTTAGTGATTTGTACTCTCAGGTTTCGAGGTTAGAATGGACCTTTCAATTTACAGTTCCATCTGTTTTGTGCTTTGCAGCTTAAATACTTTAATACTCTGCGATCAGTTATCCACGTAATTTATAGGATTTTATTTATCAGAAAAATAGCTACCCTCTAGAGAGAAAAAAGTTATACAAGGACGTTTGTTGTAATTATTGCACAGGGAAACAAATGCCATGAACTATCAGATGACATCTCAAAGCATTGTTACTGAATGTTGTAATTAGAACTGGAGTGATGAAACCTATGGTGGTTGTGGGATACTTGAATCACCCTCTTGTACATGTACATGATCTCGGTACTGAATATCAGAAATTCCAATATTGTTTCGAGGAGTTGCCAGTATTACATGTTAATTTCACAATGACGAGGTTTTAATTTAATGTATAGTCCGGGTTGTTGCTATTGCTTTCCGCGAATTTATCTAATGAAATTGTATATTTAACCGAAATTGTTGCTGTAGTCTTCTTAGCATTGTAGTATTATGATAATAGGCATGTATATAGCTCCATATGCGCCTAATGCTATCAGCCCTAGATCTCTTAACAATGTAAAAGATATATATCATAAAAAATAATATAAAAATAAAATGCATAGATATAGTTCTTGCATTTCACTTATATTTCTAATGAGATTTGACATTTATTGATCTAGGGGATAGCATGTTGTTTAGAGGGCCTATTCTGGAATAGGACTGGTGTTACTATCTAGAATGGAATGGGTTCGGCTATGATCATGTCCACGGACAATCCGAAGTATATTGAGAACGTCTGGCGTGTTTATCAAATTATCGAAATAATAAAGTCCCATTTTGCTACTTTACCTGAAGTGATACCAACCAAGGATGACATTACGAATGAATTAAACTGGATTATTGTTGTATATAATCGCAAAATGCATTTGTCATTTGCAGCTATGATTGAGGTAAGTGTTATTTTCTATAGACCATATTTAACTAGAGTCACTCTTTGGATAAGATAGTGTAAAGGGTGTATCCAGTGGTTGCTATTAATAAGAACCTCGTTTCAAAGATGTGGATGCTCTGTGATACATGTAATTGCATTATCAGCACGCTTGTCTGCCCGTCCATACTTTCGTTCTGGAGATTATCACAGAATCCAGAAGTCTGATAGTACCACTTGTTATAACACAACGAAATATCATGGAATGTGCATCAATGTCTATTCCAGCTCTGACAGAAACGTGATCTAGGTAGCCTAGTCTTGAATTAAAGCCTTTGCCCCCATGTGAAGCTCGTGCCATATTTCATGAACGCTGTAACCAGTGGTTCTATTATACTATTTAACAATGATGTATACGTAAGCTATTAGATGTACACGTGCACACGTGTAACCAATCTTGACGAAACAAACTCATCCAGGACCAGTCACAATGGGCTAACTTATTTACATTTCCAATACGATGGACGATTTTAGAGGAGCATTGCAGCTGTATGGTCAAAGGCAAATATAACATAACATTCACGCGCATATCTGTTGTCCGAAAAACATGATTATTAACCAACTGTCGTTAAATTGCACACATTCCGTTTCAACAGTAAATAAGATCAATTTGGATCTCCACTTTTTTGGCCAATATTGAAATACTGATGAGGCCTACAAGGACAAGAACGCTTTATGTTGCAGTGTAATTCATTTTTCGCATACTATATTTATATTTTGGTAATCAAAACATCCATGTATTAGAGATATCATTGCAAGATGGTTACTCGTCAATCGCTCACTATCATTGAAAGATTTATCTTTTTCACAACGCAAATTCTTTTGTGTAAAAGTTATATAGGGAGTATAAATATCTTGAAGTGTCGGCTTGTAGTACTATCAGTATGAAATAAATTTAAGGATAGACGGGTAATGTACGACCCTTTAGTAAGGCTCTCTCAGAATTACACTCGATAAATAAATATTTTATATTTCAATATTTTACATGAAACAGATCTGTTGATTTTAATTGTTTTGAACTCTACTATCTTTAATTGCACTGAATTATACGGGAATACAGATATCAATCCAAATGAAGAAATATGCGTTGCATTGCTTTGGTTGATACAAACTACTGTGAAAAGATAATTCATTATTATCGAAGACTTGCTTTAAAAACCCGAGGCGTTTAACATTTTCGGACAAGCCGACATCAAAGATGAAATATTCACATTATTCAACCATAAGTATATTGTTGGCAATTTGTTCAAAAGTCACCCGAGATTCAGTTTATACCTATGACTGGTGGATGATAGACACGAGTTTCGTATGCAATGTTGTATTGTATACATTCTGTATTCCATGACACGAGCAACGATATTCATTTCTATAGTAATACTAGTAAGACTTATCTTTTTTTATTTAATTCATATAATTCATCTTTATTTTTCACCTCCCCTTTTGGCTTCAAAAGTAAAATAGATCAGCCTGGATTGCCACAGATTTGACTCTGAGTACAATCATGAGACCTAGAAAGACACGAAAGCTGAATGTGTCAGCGTTATTCATTATGCACATACTGTATCAATTAAATATTGTATATGTACCATTACATGTGTGTGTCTTACGTTCGTCCTACAGTAAAGTAGTTTAATAAAGGAACGACATGTAGGTGTAGTCATCGACTACTAGTATCACACGTGTCATGGTATAACAAATTGTATCGCATATAACAGGCATTTTTAAGCAAGTATGTTTACAAAATAATCCAAGGTGACATCATGTTGATTAATGTATGTCAATTTTATGGAAACGAATTAACTGGCATTAAGGACTGAATGGTGTGATTCTGTCGTTAAAAAAGTTACGTTTGCGCCACTGGCGACATTGAAAATGGATAACTGGCTTTGAACTCATAAAGAGTGACGTCCATTCTAACGGTATTTGTCCAACTTACAGTTGTTAGTATAAATACATGTCAATTTCTAGTTTTATAACTATTAACTATGTGATTATGTCAGTCAAAGAACAATTACACAAATCATTTTTCAAACTCTGTTTGTGATTAAAAAAACAGTTATGTAAAGTAAACAAAACTGTTCTTCATTTAAGATCTGTCAGCTGAAATATATCTCACAAACATGTTTCTATTTTGTGATAACAAACATATGAATAATTGAAAAAAGATCCACTTACCCACATAACTCAGTATAAAAACGATTACTCCGAAAGGTTGCATGTTCCTAAGTTAGAAACCGTAGCGGCTATTTTGTGGAGGATAAGGACATATCACAGCATAAGACTGCTCATTACTGCTGTACGATTGGCTAGTGTAAGTATGTTTCAAAAAGATATACGCAGTAGTATATAGGTGTCTGGATGTCTGTGTCCTTTTGTATCCATTCCAGAGCGTTACCAATACCTACATACAATATAGCGAGTGTAAATTAGGTATATATATATACAAACAAAGAATTGGGTTAAAGAATTATTTTCACTGTCGTTGAATGGTTTCCATTTAAATTGTCTGGTAATATTTCCGTGTGAAAGAATTTTAATCAAGTTATTATATAGAATGCATCTTTAACAAATTAATTTTATGATATTTCTCATTTATTTTCTCCCCATTTGTTTTCTCCAATTACAACACGTTTAAATGTCTATCATCGTTAACAGTGAGAACTGAAAAAGTCATTTGGAAAATACAAGGCGATGCTTTGAAAACACTGACAAATGTTTCGGGAAATGGAACATGGCTGAAACCTTATGCTGACGATGTGTTTCCGTTGTAATTAGAACCAAGACAAGTATGGTATAGGTGCAGTTTTCCATATTGATTCTGTTCTATTTTAAAATGACAATCCATCCACAGGGGTCGAGGATTTAATCGAACAATAAGTGAAAATAAAGCATCGGTTTTCCAATGGAATTAGTCGTAAGAAGTTCAAGTGTATGTCTAAAGAAGCGATATATGAAATCTAAAGTTTACTTAATTTTACATGCAGTCAGGCAGATCATTTTATCCTAGACGTTCTTTTGAAAGGAGTGCGCCCTATCCACTGCGCCACCCGTGCGCCATTGAAGCCTCTTAAATACCTCTTTTGTACGTTGAGTATGGACAAGTACATGTGTAACAAGGCCAACTTAATATAAACGTTCCACTGCATTGCAAAGATGTTGCAGTATATGAGATGTAGCATTCAAGTGAGGTGGCATTATAAATGATACCATTGGAAGCACGGTCTAACTTTAAGCAGAACCAAATTTATCTCCAGCACACACGCAAGCGCACAGACAGGGGGATATTAGCCAGATGGCATAGGACTAGTAGTTAGCGCCTGATAAGGCAGCTCCTGCGAAATCCTTAAACTTGTATTTATTAATTTATATGCTAATTGTATTGATTGTATTATAAGACTCTTTCATGCATAGGGTTGTAGGATAGGGAATTTCTATCCGAGGGGTTTTCAAATTCAGAGGGTGAAATTTTCGTATCCTACACCCTTGGGCATAAACGTGTATTTTTCTCGCATTCCAACAACTAGAATTAGCTCAGAAACCATGAAACTGCGTTTGGACTGGCCACCATTTTGAAAATATCAATTTTTCCCCTGAGCTTTTTAGACGAAAACGAATTAGCCATCCAGATTTATCATATCCCATAGTTGGAAATATTATAAACAACTGGGGATGGAGACCCAACGTCCCTGCAAGGAAGTCAGTTCCATAGTGGCGGTAGGGATCCTGGGGTGTAAATGTATCATAAGTGCTCAAACAAGCAAAACTCTAAGGTTGTTGTTCTGGCTTCGGTATCACAAATTACTTAAGCTGAGATTTGAGTCCCAACTCAAGAACTCAAGCTCAGCGTCCGGATTTCGTTATCACAAACTAAAAACTCAGTTCAACGCCTCAAGCTGAGCTCAAAAAGCAGAGACTTAAGTTCGAACTCAAGCTCCGGAACGAAACTGTTTGCTATAAAATGGCAGGCTTGGCGAACACTTATAATGACAAGAAAATGCTTTTACAATATTGATTTGTCACAATCATCCAAAGTGTTGGAGACACACACATTCTTTATTAGACAATTATGCAAGTAAACCATAAATATTGTCAATTTATTTGCCATTTGTTGAAAATACAGTCGTTTTAATAAGCCATGAAATGAGTCTGAGATGAATACGATAGCCCTGGGCCCGAGTGCGATTTGAAATATAAATAATCTATGCGTTATAGTTTCCAACCAACGTACTTTAAATGAAAAACTGAGCATGTGATCTTTTAACTTATGTATTTTCATGTTATTTTACTTTTTGTAAGACGATATATCGTGGCTTTTTGTGTCAAAGTCGGACCGGTACCCAAATCGGATCGGTACCCAAATCGGATCACTTTTTGCAAAAATACTTATAAATAAATAAATGTGACAACAAATCAGTTATAACAATGATATAGTCTTAGAACAGATAGCCATGCACCATGTTTGACTACAGATAATTAGTTTTTAAGTTCAAATAGCGCAAGAAAACGTAATTCAAACTCAAATGTCAATGTTTTGATTACGTTTTTAAAAAATGGCGCGTGCGACGACTATGCACTCTGTTTTAGACTATAGGGATAAATTCACACTATAGAAATACTTTTTGTCATATAAATTTTAAAGATCATCATAAAATGTTAATATGCTGACAAAAAAATATTCATTTGAAGCGTACGATACTGCAAAATTCAAGCCGTGATCCGATTTGGGTTCCGACATTCGCAAAAACCGGAGACGCTGATTGGTGACTTCAGAGCATTCTATAAATATCTCAAGTGAGCCCCGGGTGCTAATTACGTATGTGAGAACACCCATCGATATTCTATTTTTGATACAACCATAAATGAATATAATTCCTCCTCGGATTTTTCAATGATTTAATACAATGATGGTTTGGTGATCCGATATTGGTACTGTTACCTTATGCTTCGGGATGATGTTACAATATAGACGATCTTTCGGTAAAATAACAATATTTGAATGTGTTTACATGTAATTCTGGGTACAATCAGTAATTTGTTTTCATAATTTACACATAACAGTATATATTTCATTATGAAAAATAACAAAAACGATGCAAGAATGCGTCTGATCGTTATAAGCGCATACTGACCATGATCAGTAATACTAAATGCATTGCGGGACTTGATTAATGCACCAGACAGCGACTTATCATCAATAAAAGCATTTAAGGTTTTAAACCAAGTAGTTCTAATATAAGCTATTTTACACCAAAATAAATACAGTACCAGTTGAACAAACAAAGTCAAAACATCCATGTAAAAATAATTTCCTTTGTGAATCATGATTTCAGTGATTGATAAAAGTGGGGCAAAGGAATGACAATTGATTGGGGTATTGTGCCACAGGGACCTGATAATTTGTTACTGCTATATTTGGACCTAACCTAAGGTGTTCAGAGTAAATAGTTTAGGTCCAAATATGGCGGTTTCAAATTATCAGGTCCCTGTGTATTTCACCACATGGTATTTACTACAAAATCTCAACCATAAAAAAAATGTGGTTTAAAACCACAGGTGTTCTGCAGTGTATTTGGAATCTTTAAATGTGTATGTAGATATATCCAACAGATTTAGATAAAAAAAAATATACACATTGTATATATGGTATAATTCTATGAAAGGTCGTTGTTTTACATGTACCTAGTGTACGATTGCATGGCTTTAAAATCCATTTAATGTCTGGGGTGTTTTTCTCATTATATTTTCATAATTTGCAGTTTCGCAGTTTTCAAGATACGACAGGTGTATCTCGGGAATTAGATATTGTGCCATCAAGTTTAAGTAAGATAAAGAACAAAATGACGTTATGCAACAAGTATATATAGTTTTCTTTGAATAATAATTGGCACATCTTGAATATCGCTCAACGAACAGAATTAAACGTATTGTGAGAGAAATATTCAGGTAACTCTCTTTCATGTTTCAAATGTTTCAAATATATGTAGAAATGCAGGAAATTAAGAGGGAAAAGTTAACTGTGGACTTTAATTTGGCACGGGACTGTACAAATAGGTAGAAACATGATGTATCAAAATAGATCATTATAACAAAAATGTATTTAGATTTAAAAAAAAAAGTTTGAAAAAAGGATGGCGGTAGATTGGAGAACACTGACCTGACATTTCCATAATACAATATTTTCTGCATTTACCACATTTACAACAATGATTAAGTGACGATCAATGACAACGTAAAGGAACCAGAAGAAATTAATATCGTTCATGTGGAAATTTTGAAACCCTTATTTAATAAATGTTTGCGAAAATGTAAGTCTATTATTTGTAAAATTTGATGGATTAAGGACAATATTTATTAGGCTTCACATTAAAAAGTGCGTTTTTAGACATATCACATGGGCTACTTTCACCTCAAAATATTACATATATATACATGTTTATTGTATAGTCGAAGGGGTATATACACTTGGTTACATTTGTAGCTACATCTATTAGGCAATGGCACTTAAAAGTACCAACAATAAAGGTAGGTTTTACTATGAATAGTCTTTGAGTCACGACTATGTTTAATACATCTCCCAGTCTCGATTGGTAGACCTGTGATAATTGGGTGTTCAAATTTTACAAAAAAATGTGTCACTTAATTTCCTTGTCCTAAGTTTAGAGAAAAAGAATCATAACACTCGCCCGTTTTGTGTCGCACCTGGTCACGTCAAGTATTAGGTACAAAGTAAACGCAATGTCCGCGACGTAACCATTTTCTCTAGATCTGTGTCGTTAACGGAATCTTTTTGACCACACAGGTTACAAATTAATCTTTATTTTCATCATAGGAGCTTTCTAACACCTTTGCCTATCCTTGCCTCGAAAACTGACGGACACAGGAATCGATCGAATGAACACGTTTATAGCATGTTCTGATTTATTTTGAGTGAAGTAGATGTATGCTGTTAAAACAGTGTTATTGTACTTAAAAAACTGTAACGAAGATTATACCTCTTCTTCGTTTAATGATATTACATTCTTTCAAAGTTATTTCAGCGTAAACATGTGATTTGACACACAACAAGTGCGACATCGCGCGAAAAACTGCACAGTCTTGATACGATAAATGTGCTCTTATTGGTGTGAAGAGTTCAGCGGAAGTTTACGTCGGCAAGCTCAGCTGAGCTTGAGTTGAACCAGCGAGCTTAAGTTTTACCAGCTTTGTGATACCCATTTGGCGGTAAATCTCAGCTGAGTTCAAACTTAAGATTTGAGCTTGAGATTTGAGAAAATGTTTGCGATACCAAAGTCCGGCTCTTAAGGAATGGGAATTGTAATCGAACGAATATTTAGCATGATTAAATTGACAGAACTGTTGTAAATAGAGTATAGGTCAATAAG